GTTTTTTTGAGACAGTGTCTTGCTATGTGGTTGAGACTGACCTGGAACTCACTGTGTAGCCCAGGTTGGTCTTGAACTCACAGCGATCCTCCCGCCTCAGCCCGAGTGCTGGGATTACAGGCATGCGCCACCACGCCCAGCTGAGGAATGGTTCTTTGATGATCTTTGGGCAGATGTAAAATCTGAATAGAAATCTCTAAAAGTTCTAAGCAAGGCATAGTGGCAGAGGCAAGAGGCAGAATTGCAAGTTAGGGTCCTATCTGGCCACTTAGCAAGACCCTGTCTCAGTAGCAAAAAAAAAGGATTAGGGGTATACTCAGTCTGAAGATCTTATATACTTAGAGATTTAGAACTTTCATTAAGGTTTGATTGGAACTGGTGAGAAGATAAAGTAGTAGGGGGCCATCCACACTGGTGCATGGGCCGCCATGGCTTCCTTTCTGTGAGGCTGTTTGATGACTGGCGGCCGGGGAAGGAGGGTGACCAGGAAAGGAGGGTGACCTTGCACACTTGGCTGCTGCAATCCTCAGCACTTATGTGGGACACACAGAGATTCATATTTTTTGTCTGTTCAGAGAGTTCTATCCACAAACCTCTTCCCCAGGCTTCCTTGCCGCCAAATTTTCAGTCAGATCCTTGGCCATCGAGCAAAACCGTTTTCCACAGCACACGAATCAGTGCACATTCGCACTTCCAGCCACTTTGGCTTCAGAGCGTGTGTGTGAGAAGCACAGTGCCGCAGGCTCCCTCCTGGGAGGCTTGGGGAGGCCGCAGGAAGAAGCAGCAGAGCCACAGCCACAGCCACCTCTTCCAGGTGGGGCCTCAGGGTCCGGAACGCATCCACTTTTGCTTTCCAGGAATGGAACCTTGTCTGCTTTCTTGTCACTTAATCACTGCACATATAAGTTCCTTACGGAGTTATGGAAAAGAAGGCACTCTTTTTTTTTTCATTTTTAGAAGAAAGGGTTTTTTAATTACAGTATTATTAATTAGTATGATGATTGAGACCTGTCTAGTGGTTTAAACGCATTTCTATACTTTGTTATTACTAAAGCAATTAAAACTTGTAAATAATTGGCAGTTTACTATTTGTCTGTAATTAAATACACATAAGTACACTTATATTTCTTCTCTTACAGATGCTGTCTCTTTTACCAGCAAGGATTATCAGATTGCTAGAATTTATTGGATTTTCTGGAAACAGGGTATAAATTTAAATTTGTCTTACTTTTGACAGGGAGGATAAGACATTATTTACCAAACATGGGGACAGTGTAACATGTCCTCATAACTGACATGGTAATTGTTGGTAGTTTGTTTCCAGAACAATAAAGAACAGTTGGTCTTTGGTCATTTCAGGAGTTAGGCTTGGCTTTTTTGTTGAAAATTAAAAAATCTCACAGCGGTTCGGTGGCCTGCCTTGCAAGTGCAAGGACCCGAGTTCAATCCGCGGTACCAAAAAAAAAGAAAAAAGAAAAAAAAAGAAAATTAAAAAATCTCACCTGTCTTAACTAAATTCTAGAGTTAAAATTTATGTTTTGGGCCAGGGATTTAGCTCAGTGGTTCCGCTGCCTGCCTTGCAAGTACAAGGTCCAAGTTTGATCCCTGGTACCAAAAAAACAAAAAGTTTTGCTAATATTGCTGCTTGCTGGATTTTTATTACCTTTTGTGGTAAAAATATCCTTCTTCAATATTTATTAATCCCACAGTTATCTTCTTTAGAATGAAGAAACTAGGCTAGATTGCTTTAATAGTCTGTAATTCTAGCATGGATCAAACACAGTTGCAGGGTTTTGGATTTCCATTTGCACGTTTTTACAGGTTTTACTATACAACAAAGTGAGGAGATTTGTTTTCTGTGAAATTTTTGGGGTGCATATATAGCATGAATCCCAACATTCAGAATGCTTGTACGAGAGTAGTTGCATCCCAAGAGCTGTCTCTGCTAGTCAAAAATCAGAGTTTTAGACATGTAACGAGTGCAAGTACTAGAAGCTATGACATTTTTCCACTTCGTAGGCTGTTACGTAGGTATGGTGCTCTTTGTGTAAAATGTTCTATTTTGACTTTATGTGTATGTTCACTCTTCTCTTTAACCATTGATCTGTATTCCTTTAGTGATTCCTCTAGAATACAGTCCAGAGTGTGACATGGTGTCAGGGTCCCCACAATCTGATATAGCCAGTGTTCTCAGCCTTGCTACGCATACTTTTCACTTTCCTGGTACTTCCTCTCCATTGGTCCGTTGGGTGTTACTTGAACATGTCCTTTCTCTGTGCTTCTGCTATTCTTTTATTTGGACATCTTCACTAATCAGCTTCCCTGGAAATAATGTTCCCTCAAGAGCTACTCTAGTAGGTTTGTGATAAATGCCATCTACTCCGTCAAGCTTTCTTAAAAAGTAAACCGCCTTTGGGGAGAATGGGGTTACTGTGGGTTAGCATGTGAATGTTTGTGAATCTGATGTTCCAGCAATTTTGTCTTTCTAAAATGCACTTAACTCCCACAGGAGCTGGGCCTCCTGCAGTTGCGGGAAGGGGCGTCAGGGAGAAGCATGCGGTCTCCACTGTGTTGCCTCACCATCCTGGCGTTCCATACCTACATCTCTCTGATACTTGGTACGGTCTGCAGGCTGCGTTACTTCATGCCTTATCATCGAAAGTTGTTTATCTTTACTCTGAATAAGTACAAATTTAGAGAAATCAATAAGAACTGGTAGTCTGTCTACTTTTTTGGGGGGTAAACATGAAAACCAGTGACATTTATCAGTGACATTTGGGAGAGGGAGTGGGCTTTTCTCATTGATGTTTTTTATCCCCAGCTAAAATTTCTGTACACATTAAGGTGCTTGATTTAATCATTTTCATATAAAATTTTTGTTTTTGTGGAAAATGAAATAATTGCCAAAAATAAGTTAATATTGTTGTTTGTTTGTTTTCCCTCTGGTACCAGGGATCAAACGCAGGACCTTAGAGGCAGATGCGATGCCACTGAGCTAAATCCCTGGCTCTAAAATAATTTAATATTGTTTATTAAAACCAGAAATTCCAGTTAGAAATCAAGCTAACTACTTCTTAAGAATTCATCTGTTCTAGAGCTGTTTTAAATCGCTTCTCGGCCTTTTGGCTAAGATCAAGTGTAGAGCTGTTTTAGAGTCAAGTCACTGATGGGACTTGTCTTTATTTCCTAGCTGTTAAAAACAACAACAAAATGGTAGTTTTCATATTTCCCGCCAGTTAGTCTTTGCGGTCTGTTAATAAAATCGGGAGTTAGTTATAAGTGCCTTCTCTGTTTCTTGAAGACTGAGGCTTTTCCTTTAAATCTCTAGGTACAGGAGAAGTGAATGTTGTGGAAGCAGAGAGTCTCCTTGCACCCTTCCTGCAGCAGTTTCCAAATGTATGCTTAGTATTTCAAGCGTATGTTTCAGCCATAGTTAGTCAGCCAGCATCACCTCTTGAGCAGTGTGCTTTCTTCCTTTCTCCGCAGGGTTCTCTCATGTTGTTTTATCATGCGCGCATTGAGCTGCTGAAAGGGAATATTGAAGAGGTAATGTTTTTGGCGGGAGCTCCTGAGGGCGTCTTCTGTATGGCGGAGTTGCTTTACACAGTTGTTCAACATGAGTGTTGGGCTGCGTGGTCTAGAAAACAGTGATGTAATGACTCAGCCAACATTTTAATTCATACATCGGTCCTGTACCATGTAGTACATGCCCCGGATCTAATTTGCACAGAAAGTACATGGGGTAGGATATATGTACAGAGCAGGTGGCCGGTCTAAACTGCTTTCCAAACATGTTGTCACCAGTCTCTGCATCCCACGTTGACCCTGGAATCCAGACCCCGAATAAGGTACAGTGCAATGTACGGCATGTGGACTCCTCGCCAGGGGAGCTTGTCTACCGAGTCCCAGGAAGAGGCTGGAGAGGGAAGGGCCTTCGATACACACATTCTCAAGTGGGTCTCCCTGCAGATGGGATCCAGCGTGTTGTTCTGTTGTTTGTTTGTTTTGTTTGTTTATTTGTGTTTTCTGTCTGTAGTACAACTTGGCTCTTTCTCTGGTCAGTGTATCTAAATCTCCGTCCTTCTCTTTCATGGCTGGGCTTCATTTTATGGGAAGACTACCCTGCACTTCCTGATGTGGTCTGTGGCCTGGTGCGGGGGCACACACCTGTCACCCTGCACTCAGGAGGAGCTTGAGTTTGAGGCCAGGCTGGGCTGTATCTCGAGACCCTGCCTCAATAATAAGTGAATAAATAAAATAAAATGGCCCAACTCTTGTTAGCTCTTTGGCCACTCCAAAGAGTAATGTTGTAAACACCATTGTGCACAATTTGTGCACGGTATACTGATAGAAGGCACATTCTCATCGTCAGGGTTTCAGTGTTAGAGTGTGTTTGCATTTTGATAAATCCAGCCAAACTTCTTTTTTAGATTTATTTTTATTAGTACATGTTTACACTACCTCATGATTACATTCATCATGGGGAGTTGATAGATGTACACAGCACGTCTTAATTCTTTTTTCATCCCTCCTCCCATCTCTTGGTTCCCTTGCCTTTTGCAAAAGATTCTGTCTCCCTCTCTTTTGTTTTGCTCTTTATAGTTTGGGTTTCTCCTGTCAGAGAAACCATGCTATATTTAAGTTTGCGTGTCTGATTTATTTCACTTGACATATTGTGGTCTCAGGGTGCATCCATTTTCTTGCAAATGATTCAGCTTCATCCTTTTTTTTTTTCTTGGTACCGGGGATCGAACTCAGGACCTTGCCCTTGCAAGGCAGGCAGTGGCACCACTGAGCTAAATCCCCAGCCCAGCTTCATCCTTCTTTACAGCAAAGTAATTCTCCATTATATATAAATACGTTTTCTTTATCCATTCATCTGTTGATGGACATATAAGCAACTTCCAAGATTTACCTGTTATGAGTTGTACTGACATAAATATGAGAATACATGTATCATTGTAATATGATGTCTTTCTTTCAGGGAGATACATAGAAGGGGAATAGCTGCGTTGAATGGAATTTCTTTTTTTTTGGTATCGGGAATTGAACTTGGATCCTTGCACTTGCAAGGCAGGCCACCGAACTGCTGAGCTAAATCCCCGGCCCTTGAATGGAATTTCTACTTTTAGTTTTTTGAGAAATCTTCATACTGATTTCCATAGTGGTTCTATTAGTTTACATTCATACTGTAAGACCTGAATTACAAGCCCATGCTAAATGACAAAGGGCCTAGGAGACAGTGCTCTAACCCCCTCCCATTGTAGCCACAGCCCCAACCTTTGTTCAAACCCTGGCTTAGCACTGTAAGGCAATCTTGTACTGTTTGAAGTCCAGATCATGATTAACGTATAGGTTAGTAGTTCTAGACTATGAGATACATAGAGACCCCAACTTAATTGTCAAACTGTTTGCTCATCCTGGATGTCTTGGTGACCTTTGAAACATCCTATAGGGATCTGTTACTCATCAGTGTGTGACTGCCGAGTACGTAGCTGCTGACCACCAGCTCAAATCAGCAGACCCTTTTCCCCTCCTGCAAGCCTAGAATTGTTAACCCCCGCTTTTTACCCCCCTATAAAAAGGATCTCAGCACCTGAGCTGGCGCCTCTCTGAGCCAGCTACTTGGTTCTGAGAGTGCCGTCTGGCCAGACTAATAAAGGTCTGTTTATCATCTAGCCTGGGTGTTCCTTCCTGGGTGACTCTTGTTCCTCCGTCGAGCTCCTGGAGCCTTGTGGGTTTTAGGACCCAGCCTCGGGGAGGCCTTTTCGGCTGTTTACGCTCTGTGGAGTGGAAGTGAGACTTTGAGTCTTACAGTACGAACAGTGTAGGGGTTCCTTTTCTCTCCACAGTCTCGCCAGCATTTGTTATTGTTTGGTTTCTTAATGATAGTCCTTCTTTCTGAAGTAAGATGGAATTTTAGTGTTGTTTTGATTTGCATTTCTCTGCTTAAGTTTCTTACACCCTAAGCTCCTACAGAGATATGAGAATCCTTGTTTCTAGTGCTCTTTGTCAACTCTGGGCATTTTCTGTTGGTTCTATTTTTGCTAATGAAAAAATGATAATTAATTTTTAAATGTATATTGCCTCATTTCCAGATTTCTTTATATGCATATTTGTTGTTTGTATATCTTTTCTTTGATTTGCCTATTTATCTTTACCCATTTTTCCATGGAGTTGTCTTTTTAAAGGATTTTGTAAAATTTTTATCTGACCAGGGGTTAGTTAACATTTTGCTAATTATGTGGGTAGTAATATCTTCTCCCAGTCTGTCCAGTGCCTGGAAATTTAAAGTGTATTTTGCCCAGTGGAAGTTTTCACTTTATTGTTGTCAGTTTTTTTTAAAGGACTGGTGTTTTATATCGTACTTGGAAGGAATTTCCCGAGTCCTTTGTTTAAAAAGTACCAGCATCCCCTCACAAACTGAAAGATATGGAACTTAACTATATCATTCTGTGTAAGGGACACCACCCTTTGTGTTGAGTGATTTTGAGTGATTATTTTGTTCTTTTTGTACAAAGCGTTTTATGTATTTTCCCATTAGGTTATTATCTCCTTGTCTAATAAATGGATGATCATCTTTGTACAATTGACTTACAGGCACAAGAGATATTTCGAAAATGCATTTCAGTTCAGGAAGAATGGAAACAGTTTCACCACCTCTGTTACTGGGAGCAAATGTGGATTAACATATTTCTACAAAACTGGGTGCAGGCGTATTACTATTCAGATGTCCTTTGCAAAGAGAGTAAATGGTCCAAGGTAAGGTGTAGTGCCTTCATTAATGTCTACTAATGTTTACTGGAAGTATCTAGGATGCTTGTTCAGTAGTGTTTTAGGGTCACTGTTTTCTCTGTGCAGAGATCTACAAGGGGAAATTTGCATGACATACCGACTACGTAATCACAAGCAGTCTTTGGCATTGCATGCTTTAAAAGCCATCCAAAGACATTCCAGCAAAGATTTAACTGTAAAGATGAACTCACTTGTATTTACACTTATTACATATCAATACCAGTAGTGTGATGTTAATACTTTTTGTAGACTTCCCAGTGCCCTGATAAACAGGCTCATGTGATAATTAAAATTAATTTGATCCAGGAAGAATGAGATAATGGTCTTTTATTCATTTGTCTCACTTTCTCATCCTTGAATGTAATGGGAAATGGTCTTAAGTTAATTGAAATCTGTTATCCTTATTTGGAACAGACAGTTTAAGATTTTATTTCTTTTGACTTCGTTGATTCTGCTTAACATTAAATCTGAAAGTTTTGTAGGTCATTTCGGATTTGCATATAGAAATGTCATGACCTAAAGATGTTCTTTAGCAGCTTCTTTTTCTCCTCAAGGCAACATATGTGTTCTTGAAAGCGGCAATCTTGAGTATGCTTCCAGAGGAAGACGTGTTAGCAACTCATGAGAATGTGACTGCTTTATTCAGGTAAGCAGGACACTGTTTCTGTCATAAGGCCTCTGGATGGATAAAGACGTACAGCTCCGTCCTCTGTCTTTGCTATAATGCTCTCTCATGCTTCACTCTCCTATTTCTTTAATGCCTCTCCTTATTTGGTATTGGAACTGTTAAAACGGTACGTGTTTAAGTGTCACAGCAGGCTTTTGCGAGATGCTTGTGTGACTGGGAATCTCGAGAACACGTGCTTTATTTGTGTTTCGGAACTAGAATTTTATTGTGGTAGTCTTACTACTGCAATTAAGCTGGATCTTTTCCCTCACGTTGAATCTTACTCTTTCTTTCAGTAATGTAATTAGATTTTCTTGACTCCTTTCTCAGCAACCTGTTTGATGCATTCTTAATATGCAGTTATGCAAGAACATGTAGTCTCTTCATCCCGGTTTCATTTTCATGCACTTGTGAATTTCTTTGTTTTTCTTTCAAAAATATCAGGGCTTGAACCCAGGGCCTAGTAGACATACTAGGCAAGTGCTCTACCCCTGATTGGTATTGCCCATGGCCCCATGTTTGTGAATTTCAGTGTGAGGAACAAGTTTCCAGGTCAAGGTGGGCTCCATGCCCCTTACCCAGAATAGAGTAAAATGCAAAAGTTCCTTTCTGAAAAAATCCATTCTATGTGACAGTTTCTCTGTGCTTCTGAAAAATTCCATTCTATGTGACAGTTTCTGGGCTTCGGTTCCTCTTTTGGGGCATCTCCACCCTGCATCTGTTCCTCTTTTTGAGATGTTAAGATGTATTAATTAATATAGGAATTAGTTATAGCTGACATAGGAATTAATTATGGCTGACATAGATAGCCACCTCCTGATATATTAGCTTGCAAAATCAAATGATCTAATAAAAAGAGCAATTGATTCTGCGAATGTAGGCATTAGGTAATTTTCCAATACATACCCTCTCAGCACCCCGTGATGATTTTGCAAATATAAGCATTAGGTAATTTTCCAATATGTGCCCTCCCGGCACCCCCTGATGATTTTGCGAATGTAAGCTTGATAAGAGAGAACTAAAAATATCAATTATAAGCAGAAAAACCCTATATAAACCTGCTTCAAAAATGGATCTGGGCTCTCAGTCTGAAGCCGCGGTGACGGTGACATCTGAGAGTCCAAGCTCGAGCTTGCAATAAACTCCTCTTGCAGTTGCATCGGACCTGACTCCTTGGTGGTCTTTGGGGACTTCGTGACTTAGGCATAACATCATAAATAGAATTTCTTGCAATTTTGAGAAGTTTGTAAATACAGTGCATGGCCTAAATTATTTCCAAAATCACCTATGCTCGAAAAACATTTTCTCAAATTGTGCATTAATCAATGGCTATCTTTTGAGTTACATTATTGTGTAAATCTGTGTCGTAATGCAAATACAACAGGAAATGTACCAGTATACTTTCTCTGAGTGTCCACACTATACGTAATGCTTTTTAAGGAAATTGCCAGTGTTATACCTAGACTACCTGGAATATGGTTGATAGAAGCATTGACTAGGTTGACTAGAACGAAACCTGTCAGTAGTGGTCACGAGTGTGCACCAGGATTACATGCAGGCCGTATCAGAAACCAGATTGCACCACTACCCTTCAAGGTGCTAATTTAGTGAATCTGGACTCCTCTTGCTTGCATCGGACCTGACTCCTTGGTGGTCTTTGGGGACTTCGTGACTTAGGCATAACATCATAAATAGAATTTCTTGCAATTTTGAGAAGTTTGTAAATACAGTGCATGGCCTAAATTATTTCCAAAATCACCTATGCTCGAAAAACATTTTCTCAAATTGTGCATTAATCAATGGCTATCTTTTGAGTTACATTATTGTGTAAATCTGTGTCGTAATGCAAATACAACAGGAAATGTACCAGTATACTTTCTCTGAGTGTCCACACTATACGTAATGCTTTTTAAGGAAATTGCCAGTGTTATACCTAGACTACCTGGAATATGGTTGATAGAAGCATTGACTAGGTTGACTAGAACGAAACCTGTCAGTAGTGGTCACGAGTGTGCACCAGGATTACATGCAGGCCGTATCAGAAACCAGATTGCACCACTACCCTTCAAGGTGCTAATTTAGTGAATCTGGGGTAGGGCCTGGGAATTTGCACTTCACACAGACTCCCAGATGTTGTTGCTGCTGTTTTGTGTGATGCAGTGTACAAAGCACAGGTGTAAATGATATTATGTGTTTGCCAGTTGTGACACATCCATGTAATCCCAGTATGCTGGGAGGCTGAGGCAGGAGGACTGCACGTTCAGGCCCAGCCTGGGAGCTTAGCAAGATCCTGTCTCTAAGTGAAAACCTGGAAAAAAAGGGCTGGGGATGTAGCTTAGTGGAAAGCCCTGTGTTCAGCCCCCAGTGCCACAAGTGAATGAATGGACGGATGGATGGATGTGTTTACTGATCCTTCCTTGGGGCCGGGGTCTTCACAGACAGGTGGAAGCCTTGAAGCAGAGAATTGCTGGTAAATCTCTCCCGACCGAGAAGTTCGCTGTGCGGAAGGCCCGGCGCTACTCCCCCTCCTTGCCTGCCCCCGTGAAGCTCGTCTTGCCAGCTCTGGTATCTGCTTTTATTTACTGTTCGTGTACTAGACAGAAATCACTAGTTTAGAGCAGCAGAGAGCGTATGATTGTGTGGGTAATTAACTCAGAAACCATCCTAGGTTTTCTCAGGTAAACATTTACAAATGAGTTAACAAATAGTTTAAACTATAGCTAATGCCACTGTCTGGCAGCAGACATTCTGATAAAGGCTGATTAAAACAATGTATCCTTTAGCTCTCACAGCAACTCTGAATGTAGTCTTGTTAGCTTTTTTACGGATACGGACATTCAGGCTGAGAGAGGTGAAGTTGCCATTATTGAACTTGAATTGAATTGTAATGCAAGCCAGAACTATAATTTTACCTTTTCTAATAGCCATATTAAAAAAGCAAAAGGAAACTTGAAATTAATTTTAAGACTGTTTTCTTCAAACCAGTACATGCAGTTTTTGCTATTTCAACGTGTAATGGATAAAAATTTATTGGTGAGATACTTCCCATCGTTTTATGTTGTTCTGCCTCTTGAAACTCTAGTGTGTGTTTCACACTTGCGGGACGTTCAGTGTTTTACTGCTGCAGACCTGGGGTAGCTGGTGGCTGCGCTGGTCCACCTGGGCTCTCTCCCAGGCAGTGCACCTTTTAGGCAAGCCAACTGTGAGAAACACTCAGTGAAAAGTTTTCTTACTGATGTCTTCCTTTAAAAACTCTGAACATGTCAGATCACCAGGAGTCTTCTGAGGCTTTAGTTTTTGTGAAAGTGGTCAGTAAAGAAAAGCTGCCCAGTTAAAGCCGGTGTCTGCTGTCTTCTTCTTTTTTAATTCCACAGTTTTTTTAATCATTCCCCTTTGATGGTTGTGCAAGTTTTCCCATTTTTCATCGTTACAAACACACTACCATTAATATACTTTTTTTTTTTTTTTACATTTATATATATTCTTTGGGGAAGAGTTTTAGAAATAGAATTTCTGGTTGAAGATATATTTTGGCAGATATTGTCAGATTTCTCTCCAAACCTAATTAAATCTCATTTCTTTTATAGGTGCTGTTGAGCATTTTTCTTGTGTTTGTTTTTAGTCTTTCATTTGTGACTTGTTCATATCTTTCCTTAGTTTTTTGTTTCTTATTTTGTTACTGACTTCCAGAGCTTTTTGTGCATTCTATGAGAACAGAAAATGCAGGCCTGCAGGTATCAGATGGTATCTGCAGTCATGTTGAGGACAGAGAGAAGAACATTATGTAGATGACAGGGACAAGCACACATTTCCCTCCTGACTTGTGCGAACTGTAGTGCTACTGCCTTCCTAGTTAACTTCACTTCCATTCCTCATTCATTTTTGAAATGAAAAAACAAGCTGGGAAAGTTTTTCTGCCTCACAGAACTTTCTAGAAAAATTTCGGAACCATCCAGTTCTTTGCATGCAGTAGTACTTGGTATTGTGTGCACATAGCTGTTTCCTGCTTTGACTATGAATAGTCTTACGAAAGGTCTAACTTAACTGTATTTCCTTCTCCAAGTCTGTTGCTGGGGAAGAAACAGGAAAATGGCTAGAATTGCTGGTACCTGGGAATTTTACTATAAGCCTGTGTTTCATAAAATCTTATGCATGCAGGGGGCTGGGGATTTAGCTCAGTGGCGCCACTTCTGCCTTGCAAGCATAAGGTCCTATGTTCAGTCCACAGTACTGAAAAAAAAAAAAAAGACCTACATTTGCCTCTTTCTGATAAAACAGTCCTTTGGGCCAGGGATTTAGCTCAGTGGTTCCACCGCCTGCCTTGAAAGCACAAGGACCCAAGTTCGATACCTGATACCAAAAACAATAACAACAAAAACAGTCTGTCAATAAAAACTTCGAAAAAGTCACTGTCAGTTTCAGTGTATTTCAGATATCATTGAATTGAGCTCTTACTTTGATAGTAGTAAGAAATTGTCCCATGTTGTTATCGTAGTTTTCAGTGTCATATAGTGAAATTATGGCCACTCTGCCTGGATATGTCTCCCTCATATCCACTACTTCCCTCATAAGAGGCTTTTCAAGCAATGACTATCAGTCTAAAATTCATTCACATCCAAGAAGGTGCTAATTATCCTACTTACTGTATGCCCTTCAAAATATGAACTGCACTGTCAAGAGCATTGGAAAAATATTTTCAGGCAAAAGCACATTTTCCTTTGGTCCAAAAAAATTCTCATCTGTTAGTCCATTCAATATAATCTGCGATGGGAAATCAGTAATTTACATTTTCAGCAGCTGTCATTCAGCCATGTGGCCTTTAAATGAATGTGTTCTTTCCATATTGGTTTGCATTACTGGACCAACACATGTTTTTAATGTTATAAAAGAACCTGGGCTCAGTAAAATATCCCAATGTTCATTTCCAGCAATATGCTTAGAAACATTTTATATAAACAACTGGCGGACATTTAAAAATATTCCCTTTTTCTTAAAAGTAACAACAAAAATTTACATTGAATGGATTTGTTCAGTATTATCTTAAAATATATTTACTGTGTGTGTGCATGTGTGAGTGTGTGCATGCCTGTGTGCATGCATGTGGGGTGCACATGCGTACTGGGGATTGAACTCGGGGCCTTGCACATGCTAGGCAAGTGCTATACCATTGAGCTACCTCCCCAGCACTACATTTACTTTTAAAATCTGTATTCTATTCCAAAAGAATAGAATACTAGTAGGTACTTAATAAATACTTGTTGAGTTTGAACTTCTTTTGTTTTTGTTTTAGTTTTTTAGTGCCAGGGATCAGAATCCGGTCCTTGCGCTTGTGAGGCAGGCAGCAAATAAGTTCTTGTTGGAAGACTGAATAAATTAATTTTTCAGTAAGAGCACAAGATGTATAAAAGGCATATAATCAAAAGAAGGGGAAATTATATTACTAAACTCCAAGTGAAGCCAGGAAACATGATCTCTAAATAGTGTCTTGAAATCCCTAGCAAACAAGGCATTATATACTTTTGTGTGGTTTTTGTGGTCATAAAAGAGATTGAGTAAACTCACATCATTTTTAATGGTTTTTCATTCTTCTTCATTAGGAAATGATGTATGTCTGGAATGGTTTTTCAATAGTGGGGAAAAGAAAAGACCTTTGTGAAAATCTCTTGGTAACCATTGAAAAGGCTGAGGCAGCTTTACAAAATGAAAGTAAGTACAAAAAGTAAACAGATAGTAATCGTCGTCTCTGTTACATTTCTATTCTGCCTGTCCATGTCTACATCAATTTTTGTGCATCTGGAGGACAAAAGAGCTTGAGCTGCAGGTGTCTGAGTGGTTGCAACCAAGAGGAAGGAGCAGCGACACATCCTGTATAACATGGGTGAACCTCGAAGCCTGGCTAGGTTGAAGAGGCCACTCGCAGAGACCACACACTGTATGATTCCATCTGGGTGACTCACCCTGCCTACCCTGCACAGTCCAGTGCTTTCATAGAGAAAGGGGATTAGGAAATAGCTGGGGAGGGATGGACCAACTGGGGTGGGGCGTGATGGCTGAGGGGTGTAGTGTTTTGTTGGTAGGAGATGAAAATGTTCTCCGATTATTGCTGTGGTGGTTGTACTGCTCTGCAAATACACTTAAAAACCATTGAATTATATCCTTTAAGTGAATGAATTGTACGGTATGTGAATTGTACCTGGAAACTTAGGAGAAAGATGAAGAGAGGGTGTCAGGTGCTGGAAAGTGAGAGCAGCACAGGAATTTCCCTCTGTGCATCTCCTTCTGGTTTTAGCTTGCTGTTCCTCTTGCCAGTATTCCTGATGGTTCTCCAGGCTAGTGTTGCTGTAGGCACAATGAGTTGTTTGTGTTCAAGCTTAGATCTCACCACTTAATTTGTTTGCCCATTGCCTTACCCCAGTTTGGAGGCAGGTGATGTAGTAGAAGGAAAATCAGGCCATCCAGGTTTGTGTTCTCAACCCTGCAGCCGTCATACTCTGGGAAACTTGCCTCTTCGGAAATGGGGGCAGTGTTGGACTAATGATACCTAAAGTTGTTTTCCTGCTCTGATCTTTCTGATTCTGGTTTTTTGTTTTTTTTTTAAGAGCCTTTATGTTTTGATACACAGTGCTTTCTCATCAGTGCCAAAAAACTTAAATATTAACCAAGATCATGGCCTTACCTTTTGAGATTTTCTAACCATAGAAAAAAAGTAAAATGAAAATGTCTGTGGTGATAAACCCATTAAAGGGCACAGAAATTTAGTGATGGTGGGTGAAAACTGTTGATAGTTAACTCATTTTTCTTACCTGAAGAAAGATGGGCATTTGAGAAGCACTAGCTCCAAACTCAACATGCCCCCAACAGAGGGGTTAAATTATTGTGTATGGCCCAGGGATTAGCATGTATTTTAGATCTTTTTTGTATTGATGTCTTTCTTATCAAGCTAAGATTCTAATGAAGCCTCTTTTTACAATTTTTTTTTAAACATGTACTTAAAATTTTTAGGTAAAAGTGGAGAAAGATAACCCATATTTTTGCTACTGTAGCACAATTTAGAATTTTTGAATTTTCCATCCTGGCTTTATTATTAGAGTTACGAATATAAGGTGTCTAGATATATACTAGTTTTTTTTTTATTTAATATATCATCAATGCTTTAAGTTTTGGTAAATGAAGCCTTGTAGCACTCCATGGAGGTAACACATCATGATTTAATCCTCTCTGAGTTTTGTTGGATATTTAGATTACTTTTTCCATTTAAAATAATTTTAGCATTAGATTTCATCAAGAGGAACAGAAATATTAAAAAGTAAAAGCTGAATCTATGGTTTGATCTGCTGACAAGTTCAAGGTTTCAGACCAGACTGCTGAAAACCCAGTGGACACACAGTAGATCTGGGCCACAGAGTCCCTACCTCTGTTCAGCCATCTTGAAAAGACTGACCTGTGACTGTAGGGAGACCAAGTGAGTGGAATAGTTTACCCCACTGTAGAAGAAGCATTCAGGAAAAGTTCATCTGTTGATAAGGGGCCAATGATGCCTTCTCATCCTAAAGGCAGTGCTTATCCAAGCCCTGGCCCGTTATGACCTTTTAGTAATTAATCTGCTGTCTTTCCCATTAGAGGAACAAACTCATACTTGGCAAAGGGAGGGAAGTTGTGAACTTGAGGTTACACTGGGCTCCACCTGCCCCCCGCCCCATTATTAGGAGTGGAGTGCTTTCGCTTTTGTGGGCAGGTCTAAATTGGGTCTGAAGCAGGTAGAAGATCTGATTGCTCTGCTCTGGTTGTGCTCCGGCCATCATTGGTAACGGCCTGGCCCTGAGACGGAGGGCAGAGCTCCAAAGATGGGCAAGCTCTTGGTAGCGTGCCCAGAGTCAGCATGTGGTGTGGATTCCTTCCAGCAGTGCCTCCCTTGGAATCGAACTGCACTTGCTAAGTATCCAGATGCTGGTGCGGCAGAGCCCCTTTGTCTATTTGTTGACATTAATTTGCTTGGGGAACTTAACATAGCAAATATAATTAAGTTACGTAAAAGGGAAAGTATTAGCACTTTGATGGCTTCACTTCCTGAATCTATTTTCACATTTTTTTCTTTGTTTATTTCAGTTAATTTCTAAAAAGTTCGTGATAGATTTTTTTATAATTTGACCTTTAAACTCCCTTTGTCCTCAAAACACTGCACTGACTTAGTAAATCCGGCAGGTCTTTTCTGCTGCAGTTCTACTTGGGGAACATCATCACATAACTTTTTTCCAATGGAGGGCTGGGGATTTAGCTCAGTGGTTCTGCTGCCTCCTTCATAAGCACAAGGTCCCAGGTTCGTTCCTTGGTACAAAAAAAAAAAAAAAACACCCAAAAAACTTTCTTCTAATGGAAACTGGAAATCTTCATCTATGAATTCTTTCATGAGGTTCAGAATCATGACAAAGTATTCATATTTTTTAGGGAAAATGATCAACCTACAAATTGGAGTCTGAGAAAATAATGGTTTTAAAGTTTTTAGCGGAGTGTGGAATTTCTGAACCCATCTGGCATATCCTGACTCAAGTTTTACATAAAAGTTACGTGGGGCTTTACTGGTATTTTGCCTTTCCATGGTGCTGTGTCTGTTCCTCATCAAAAACCAATCAGCGAGCATGTTGCCATAGCACAAACTGTCAATAAAATGCTACACAGAACTCCTAGGAGGCACAGAAGTGACACTGAAAACTAGCAACCATTATGGATCCTAAGGCTTTGGATCTAGGCCCTGAAAAATATTCCTTCTTAGATACATATTTCAACAAACATCCATGATTAGAAATACAGATAAATGTTTTGGGGGAGGTTTTTAAAAAGTGTCCTCAATAAGTAATAGGAACAGTGTGGGGTGTTGGTATCTGTAATTTTTTTCTTAATAAATGACCTGTCAGTACTTGTTAGAGATGAACCTCAGCTATTTCCACCATGTAGGAGTGAAGTGACCTGCTTCTAGTTAGCTGAGTAGCATTGCTAACCTCTCGCAGATAGTAGCTTATGTGTTGCTGGTGATTTTTAGATTTGTACTGAAGCAGGAGAGTTTCCATTTGAGGGACTCCCAGGGCCTCAGTTAGTTCCCTTTCCTGCCCTCCCCCCTGGTGTCTTACCTGACTTGTGTGAATTAGTCTGTCTTGGAATGGCTTCTTAGTTACACATAACTTGAAAAAAAAAAAAAAAAAGACAGGGGGAAAAAGCCTTCACAAGTGGTAAATGTGAAGTGACTACCTCTGTCAGATGCCACACATAGTATTTGACAAACTGTAGAAGGCAGAGTCATTTTCGAAAGGGAAAACATACTGAAAGAGTGTCTTTTACATTAAAACCCACACACATTTAGAAGTTTGTGGGGTTTAGATCTCTTTCATGTATTTCAGAACTGTTTTGTCTGATTTTATGACATAATTTTCCCCCAAAAGAACATAACCTGGGAGAATTGATAAGCTGTAAACATAATGATCTCGAGAGGGTGTTCTACTTCCTGAATTTTTAATGGGAATGAGGCCATCTGCTTCTCCATATGGAAGTGTTATCCTCTCCTACGCTGAAGCCAGAACAACAGGATGAAGCAGCCTTTTTGTTCCTCCTGGCTTTACCTTTTTATAGAACTAATAAAGCTCTTTATTTAGAGCTCAGAATCCCTGTTGTTACATCTCAAGTTAAAAAACTCAGAATGTGATCACTTGAAAAAATTTTAAGTGGATTCCTTGATAAAATGGTAATACTAAGATATTAAATTCAACATTCTTTTCATTTAAAAATGCTTTCATTGTGTTTTACTTAAGGTATAACAAATGCTAAAAACATGTTCCTTGTTTTCAATAACCCCCCTGAAGCCAGTAGCTGTTAGTTTTCTTCTTAACTAAGATTTTAAAAGTGTTTTGGGGATAGGGGTGTAGCTAGCTCAGTAGCAGAGCATTTACCTAGTGTGTATGAGGCCCTGGATTCAACACCCCGTACTGGAGAAAAAAGGGAAAAAGAAAAACTTTTTTTCCTTTTTTATTCTTTTATTTGTTTTAAGGCTTCAGTGATTATTCTGTGGATGACGAGTGCCTGGTGAAGTTACTGAAAGGGTGCTGCCTCAAGAACTTACAGCGGCCCTTGCAAGCTGAACTGTGCTTCAATCATGTTTTGGAAGGGTAAGAACACGATTGGAGACGGCCTGAATGCAGTTCCAGGAAGCTGCTGTGAGAGAGTGTTGCAAAACGCTTTTCAGTACTACTGAATTTTCCTTGGTGGTAACCAAGGAGAGAATCCAGCAGTGTTCTCTATTCTTCAGGAACCAAGTCTACTCTAGATGAGGCATGGTGTATGCATCTCTGCAATATCAGTGTTTAAAGGTGACCCACAAAAACTAAATTTATGACCTGGCTACAGGTCTGTCCAAAGTGATGTGCTTTTAATTCATGCATATAAGTTTTTTTAGTCTGTTCAAGTATTCAACAGAAATTTGAGTACCCACTGTGTGTCAGAGACTGCTGGATCCTAGGGATTCAGAATTGAGTAATCATGTGACGAGCACCTGCTTCTTGCTTGGCAAAAGGCATTTTTCTGCATAAAACTTCTTTTCCCAGTAGCAGTGATGATGTCATATTCCTTTACTAATTGTAGAATTGAACAAGCAAGGGTCAAGTGCCGAGCCCTCTTTGTCGCAGTGCAGACCTCGTAGGGCCAGAGAAGTAGCGTGAGGATGGAGGAAGGCTGTGTGGTGGAAGAGGGGCGATGGGCACTGCAGGTTGGGCGAGTGTGTTCGCTCTGGAGGGTGCAGCCACTCCAGGTCTGGTCGATTATCGCTGAGGTCAGTGGGAGCCCAGTGACAGTAGTCCTGACTGTTTTTCATGAGAAGCCCAAAAGCTTGATTTTATATAAAATCTTCTGATTTTTAAGTATTGGTACGAATTTTTAAAAAACACTGTGCAAGCTGAAAGACCACAGACCTAGCCTACAGTCGACATCCCGCTTCCACCCAGGGCTACCCGATCCCCTTCCTCCCGACAGCGTTCGTGGGAACAGAGGCAGACTGGTATTTGTGTACGGAGAAGAAAGGCGATGTCTGTTTCCCCAGTAAGTGATACACTGTAGTTAGTAGATATGTTTAAGAAGCAGGTGTGCAATTCGGTTTTATTGGGGTCTGTTGAAGATCAAAAGGGCGGTCAAAACGATGACCCATTTGTGCTGTTCGTTATGTTTATTGAATCCGTGAAGTATTTGTCCTTGTGTTTTATAATTTGGGATCGTGAACTCACCCTCAGTGAGCTTTTATCTTCGGGTTCCCATGAGGCAATGTTGAGAAGAGTCTCTAAAAAGTAATTTTTCTTAAAAAAGAATAATTTTTTCTTTTATTTCTACCAAGAGTCCTAAGGCTTTTGTATCCCAGACCACTTTCATATTAATGTCATTGCTCATTGGCTCTTGGTTCATTTGGGCAATGTAAATTTGAATTGCAAATTCATCAGACCTATTGGCTGTTGATGTCCCAAGGAATGTGTGTGTGTGTTTGGTTGGTTGATTTTTTTCCCCTCACTAAAGTGCAGGCCAAAGAAACCACTGTCCTGTCTCTCTCCTATGACAGCAAGTGGGCTCCTTCTAATCTTTCTTTAATGGAACATCTGCTGAAGGTCTTCCAAGGTCATGCTTTAAACAGAAGACTCCACCACCTGGCCTCGGCCTCCTCTCCCACGTGGACATTGGGACACAAAGCCCTGCCCGGTTCAGATGGAAGCAGATGGAAGCAATCCCAGGACTCACATTATCTCACATACCCAGAGTTCTGTTTGTTTGTTTGTTGTTATAGCTCTGTTTTTGGCCCCTGAGAGATGTTCTTACGTTTTCCCAAGCTAAGCGGTACACCAAAGTGGTGTTACTCTTTTTTTTTTTTTTTTTGGTACTGGGGATCAAGCTCAGGACCTTGTGCTTACAAGGCAGGTGGAAAAAAAAACAAAGTGGTGTCTTTTTTTTTTTTTTTTTGGTACTGGGGATCAAGCTCAGGACCTTGTGCTTACAAGGCAGGTGGTGGAACCATTGAGCTAAATCCCCAGCCCGTGTTATTCATACTTTTTTTGCTAAGTCTCTGGATATTTTGTAGCTGAGATTTCCACAGTGATGCTGAAAACAGAGCCATTATGATGGTTTCTTATAAGACTTTAAAGGGAATTGAACTTGAGAAAAAATGCAACACTTTTGCTTACAAAGGGACTAAACCACTCGCCGTGTTCGGGAGAGTAATCTCATCGTTTTGAGGGCAGTTCCTTAAAGGTCTCCTGTATTCAGTAAACAGTCATCAGGCTGTGTTTACATTAAGGGATAGTGATAAATATATAAAAAGCATACTGTTTATTGCCATAGTTTATTAAGTTTCATAACTATGAAAGCAGCTTTTCTCTGATAATAGGCTTAAGGCTACACTTGTTTTCTCAGGAATGAGAAATAAGTTTTGAAAAACAATATGGTTTTTGTTCTGTTAAGATTTAATTGATTTCCATCTATTCTTTCAGCGAAAAGCTGCTAAAGTATGACCACTACCTAGTGCCATTCACTCTGTTTGAGTTGGCCTTTTTGTATAAAAGCCAAGGGGAAATTGACAAAGCCATAAAGGTCCTGGAGACTGCAAGGTAAGTGACAAAGACAGCTTTTCCTTGATTGCTATAGAGTCAGGAATATCAATATCATTACAGAAATAAAGACACTAAACCCTTAAAAATTAGTAAGTCAGTGCAAAATTAATAATTTTATTCCTTTTTCTAATTAATATGTTGTTGATGCTCATGGATTTTGCTGCAGTTGTGCTGTTTTCAACCTCTTAATGCCTCGCCCTGTGGATATTTATGGGTATTGTTGTGGGCATCTCAGTGATTTCTAACTTAATCTCTTTTATATCAGGAGCTGACAAACGTATTCCATAAATGGCCAAAGAGTAGTTTTGACTTTACACTGTAAGGCCTCCATTGCACAGTTATAGAAAGTAGCCATAGAAGATAATATGTAAGTAAATGGGTGTGTTTAGATTGGTTCATAATTTACCAACAGATATGGTCATAATCAGTCATATCTAACATTTCCTGAAGAGCTTTTGGTCACATGAAGCTCTTTGATCTTTCCTTGATTCTCTCTGTCAACCGTGGCAGATTTGAAGTATTTTTATCATTTCTGGTAGACAGTGGCTCTTAGACTTGTGATCACAGCCTGCTTGAGTGAAGTAAAAACTCCATGTTCTGTTTGCCTTGAGCACTTCACACAATGGAGAAAAAAACACCATGATAATTTAGGCCATAAATAGCTTAGTTGTTCGTTTCTTCAGATTCAGCAAATATTCACTGAGTGCCTGATATATGCCAGATTCTAAAGGCTGTTAGAGAGGCAGCTGTAAACTGAATAGTCAACATTTCTGCTGTTTTAGCTGGAAGGAGATAGTAAATCAACAGCCAAGGAGAAAAATAGTAGTGCTGTGTGTTTTGTTGAAGTGCATACTATTCATAGGAGGGTACCTGAATGTTACTTTAGAATGGATTAATTATACATTTCCTTGAGAAGATACTATGGTGGACGATTGTGTAATTAAAGCTGGCTTTGAGGCATTCATCAGAAGTCACCATAAAACAGGGTAGGGAGCATTCCTAGGAGAAACCACAGCTAGGGAAGCATGGGATTGTGGGTTTTAACCATTATTGACAATGATATTTTTACTGAGATGGAAGTTAGAAAAACAGATTTGGGGAGAGAAAGAAGCACTCTTACTCTTTGCACCGTGATCCTTTGAGATGGCTGTTGGGTACCCAGGTCCAGATTGTGGTGAGTTGACAGGTACACTCGTGGAGTTCAGTAGTAGGATGAAAACACTGTAGCAGTTCCAGAGTTACCAGCACAGAGATAGCGATATTTAAAGCCATCATACTTGGTGAGGCCATTTAGGGAAAGTTAGCAAGAGAGGAAGGTCTACCATAGTTCCTGGGATATGCCATCATTTTAGAGGGTAATCGATAAAATTAAGATTAAAATCTTATTCATAAGATCAAGTGGAGTTAGAAAGACATGTGGAAAAACTAAATATTTTAAAAAGGTGAAAATGATCAGTTACAAGGGCAGCTCCTGAGAGGCCAAGAAACCTAAGACCAGTAGATGGGGCTGCTGAAATTGGCAACAAGAAAATTGTGGCGAGCTTGACAAAGTGAGGTGAGAAAAGACATGAAGTCAGCTGCTTTAGGAGAGGCTTTTAGAATGTTTGCTGTGCATAGAGCATAGTAAGTAAGGGGCAGAAGCTTCAGGGACATGGTGCAGCCAGGAAGGACTTCTTACAATTCCGTCCGTCCGTCTGTCTGGTGTGACAACGGATCGCTTAATTTGTTGAGAGGGAGTGCGATTAAGATTTCAACTGGAATATTTGTTTATCTTCAAACCTAGATATTGGAAGATTACTCTAAATGCTGTTGTCCTAAATATTCATTGTGTGGACACATTCAGTGCTATAAGTGCACAATAAAGTGTATAATGAAGAAAACAAAAGACTAATTATTCCTACTAAAAATCAACCAAAAGCCGCCATTAACTCAAAAAAGTACTGATACAGTAATATACTCCCTGGTAGTTTCAAATCTGTTACTTTCATTTTCCCTTATGTAGTAGGAGCTTTGCAGATTTGCCAGACATTTAAGAAAATGCTTGGTTCCATCCTTTGATAAACTCTTTAAGACCTTGACTTTAGTTTATGAATAACACATTTGCCAGCTCTCATCACAGTTACATGTAGATAGTCCTTAGATCTGTGTAAAATAAAACACTATAAAAATAAGTGATATGGCAAAGGAGAAGTTACTCCCTTCTGGCCAATGCACAGCAAAAAAGCAGGGAACCAAAGCCGAAGCTGTTCCATCATGTTGACTCTTGTAGAAAAGGGAGGTCAACAGGAATGATGTAAATCAAGTTTTAAAATAATCTTTGGATTCCCATGGTCCTTCTGTTACATATTTGTTGGCCAAACCATTGATATTTGCATGTGAAAATTCTGGCATCGCTAAGTAACCCTTCTGTCTTTGTTGTAGTTGTTTCGTGAGGGCTTCAAGGTATTTTTCCTTTTTGAATGACAGATCATGTTCACTGTGTGTATGTGAACCTGCCTTAGCGTTCTACTGTTTAAGGAGATTTTGCCAAGCTTGTTAGAGCCACCTCATAACCTTGCTGTGTTTGCAAATGATCTGGTAACCAAATAGAATGTTTCTACTCCAAGTGTGTTCTTTAAGTCACCGTCAGGATGCCTTTGGAAACACAAACGTGCTGTTTCCTCTCTCACTTGGGAGCAGAATCTGCACTTTACTAAGCTGCATGGTCAGGCGTGTTAAAGCCGGGAAGCAATGAGGATTCTGAGGGGGATGGTGATGCGCTGGTATTCAAGAAAGTTTGATGATACAGTTTTATTGTTATTGTTTTCAGAAACAACTACAAAGATTACTCCTTGGAGTCCAGACTACATTTCAGAATTCAGGCAGCTCTTCACCTCTGGAAAAAACCCTCCTCGGATTGATCAAAACATGAAGGATGGAATTCCCCTCAAGTAGCCTGGCATCTGAGATAGATCAGTCCTTGTATTAAAGTGGAAAGGGATCTTATGAATAAGAGACAAAACCAGTTTTAATTGTCAATATTTTCTGTCCTCTGGCTGGTTTACTGTTGGTCTTGCATAAATTTATTTTTTTCCTTATAGAATGACATTCAGTAATCTAGAAAATTAGTATATTTGCCTCTCCAAAAGTAATTTCATGTTCATTTTTAATTGAATAGTGAAGAACTCTTTTAAGGGACCCACAGGTACAAGAGTCTTAATTAAATTATTTATTTTTTTATGTGGAAATAATATTAAGTAGCAAATGGCTTAGTCCAAGCCATTTTTAGGTTTGTTGGTCTTTTAAATGTCAGAGGTACTTTGTTGCCTATTGCTTAAATCTCAGAAGGGAAAGAAATATCCCCTTCAGAGTAACTTAACAATGAACTTCTGAAGACTGAGAAAGCAGAAGGCGTGAACTGGGCTGGGGTACCGTGTCTCACAGGTTAGAGCGACCTGTATCTGTCAAAGACGATGAATGCTAAAAATGACTGAGCTTTTACTGTTCGTGTTAGTTAAAAGTAGTGACACTCTGAGAGACTGTCTTATTCGTGAATGTACTGAAGTCTGTTATAATAACAAAAAAATTTTTTAAAAGCCTGTACATCTAAAGGGAAGAAAAGTCATAATTTAGAAATCATCCTCAACTGTAGTGATGAAGCCTAAAATATATACATTGATTATTTTTCCTGTAGGAAGCAAAGTAAGTTCCTGCTGCTTTAAATGATAAGTACAATATTATTATTTTTTACACTTGCGAGGTTGGTGGGATCTTGTTTTCTAATCTGTGCAGAACTGCAGTGGTTCCTTATCATAGTTGGACTGTCCTTTAATTAGGAAGCAGAATCAGGTCACAGAGCAGGAAATAGCCCCTACTCTGCCACCGGTGCATGGTTAATGGGTGGCCTTCAGGAAGCCTCTTCTCCCTCGCGTCACGTTTTCCTCCTCTGTGAATGGGAAGAGAACAGGCAACTGCCTGCTTCAGTTTTATGACCGTGGTGTGTGCATTCGGTGCATGTTGTCAGCAGACGAGGTTGAGTGTCTGTCCCTGTGAGTGTTTCATCTCTTCCGTCGCTGCGGTCCCCTCCGGCTGTTCCCGTGTGTTGTGGCTCAGGACCAGATTGATCTGGAGTGAGGGGAAACCGTTCATGAGTTGCTGAGTGGAATTTGGCCTTCTTTCTGTTTCTGTTGTGAACACCAGACTGTGGTACTAACCGTCTGAGAGGCCTCTGAGTTTTCACAGAAGCCCGTCTCTGTTGGTTAGCAACTCCACGGCACGGAGCATCCCCTGTTGGGCTCAGTTTTCTTGGTGGGGACAGCAAGGTGACACTTGGTGCTCATGAGGGGGCAGCTTTAGTGCCTGAGTGGCCACAGAGTAAGAGTAATAATTGTGATAATTACGGTTCTCATGCATAGATTACAGTATCCACATAAAATTATTGGCTGAATATGTGGTCTCTGCCTTTAAATGCACGAAGTGTAGAAATTTAAGAACATTGAAATTTGTTCATGTATTTGGCCCTGATGGTAGCCCAGATTATGAATTTGCCCCTTTCTGTGCCTGGCTGCGGGACCTTGTGTCCTGCAGGGACTGTGTTTCCCAGGGAGGATGTTAACCAACACAGCAGTCGGAGCACCACCCCTGCTGGCGGTGCTGACAGATGTCAGTCCTTACTCTTGGACCAATTACATAGCTGCAGGTACGCACAGAAGAATAAATAAAATGAATTGTCATATGTAATTAACAGTGGAAAATATGTTCGATAGTTATTTTGTGTATAACTTTGGAAAAAGTTGATAAATTATTTAGAAGAGCTTTGGTAGTTTTATTTTTTAAGGCAGAAATATCCATATTAAGCATATATACGCACAGTTATTTTTCTGAGAAGCTGTAAGTTGGAGTGGATAATAAAGAAATTCTCATTTGGTATAAAATGAAATACTTTAGAGCTAATAGTGACTTGATTTTAGCTGCATTATCAAACAAATAAAAAATCCATCTGTACAATTAAAAATTTTCTTTTTTTGTTTTTATTATATCTTATTTTTATAGTTTCCCGGTATTGCGGATAATCTGCCCAGGGGATTTCTAAGTACTGTAATAGAATCTGTGCTGTGTGTTTATGTTTCTTGTTATGTTTAAGACACTGTGCTGGTGGTACCAGTTTCTTGTGACTTGAGCTACTACTGCATTTTTGGACTTTGTGATTTCGGGTGCTCTGTGAAGAGGGGTGCTGAAGGAACGATGTTTTACCTAATCTCTCTGGGCATGTGTCATGGGTTGGGTTGCCAGTGTGTCTGACAGTGCAATTTGTGCAGTTTCTGGTATAATTGCCTTTTTTTTTTTTTTTTTTTTTTTTTTTTTTTTTTTTTTTTT